GGACAAAAACAATATGACTCCTGCTTACGCTTCGCGTGCGGGGGAGTCATAATTACCAATATAGGACATTTCAGAAACAATTACAAAAACGTTCAGCTGCATTCATTTTTTTGTTTGTATTTATTTGTGTTTAATTTTTCATGAAAACAGATTTTTTTTGTTAGTGATCAGTTTATTTTTGTCATAATTAAAAGTATATCACTATTTCTTTGTAACAGATCAGACACATGATGCAAATTTTACAAAGATGATGTCAAGAGTTTTCTGTGGCATCACTACTCCCTCTAGTGATCAGAAGTTAGTAAGTGTCAGCTAGTTGAATAATGCTGTTTGGTCTATTGCTGTTGACTTATAGCATTAAATTGTGTATATTTAACATGAAATATCACTGACATTTGAAACATTACTAGTTTCTTATAAACAGAACACTAAATATACTCAATGGTTATTTGGGGCAGTATATACTGAACTTTTCACATGATGTTCTTTTTTCATTTTATGCTTGTGTAGAGAAATGCAAAATATCTGCATATGCAATGGTACAAATTTACTGGTATTTAATAGACTTCATATGGGCAGAAATGCAGATTTTTGCTATGATTTTGTGTAGTGTTATTACCATTATGTGCACCCCCCCATCAGCCCTTCTTTCTTCGTTTCTTTTCTTGGCTGTGAAAGAGATAAATTTGCTCACGGCCTGAGAGGCGGTTTCTTTTTAAGTATGTGGGTCAAAGACAAAACCTACCAACTGTGTGTGTGTGGGGGGGGGGGGGGGGGATGAGCAGGATGGACGAGCAGGATGGACAAACAAGAAAAAAAAGAAGAAAAAAGAAAACTGCTCTGGAGCACATGAACCTTCCCCACGTGAATCAATATTCAGGCCCTGATGTCCCTGTTGAGCAACGAGGGCAAAGAGAAGAGGGAGCTGAAAGGCAGAAGATACAAAGGGAGGGCTGTGATGGCATGTGTTCAGAAGGAGAATCCCATTGGAGGCGAGGAGAGAGAAAGTTGCACGTTTTGAGAGGAGAGGGGAAAGTTTTTAACAGAATTTGAAGCTGTCTTGGACTCCACTTGGGATTATTATCGAGGTACGTAACAGAATAATGATAATAAAAAAAATCTGCTTAAATTATAAACATTGGGGGGAGAACAGGTTCGATTTTAGTTGTCGGCACATATATTTGCTTGAACTTTTTGTTACGTTTTCCCTTTTTCTTGCATGGAATTTGTTTGTCTTTTACAACATATATCAGGTCTATTTTTCTGGATGTGGCTTTTGACATACTGAGAATTCTTTGCAAACTGTGATTTATTTCAACATTTTCTTAATGTCTGCATGCAGCAAAACAAAACAAACAAAAAAAAAACACACCATTACACTCAGAAAAGTGTGAACAGTGTCTACTTAAAAAAATGATGGCAACAAAGTGACAATTAATTTAATTGAATAGATTTTAAGAACTTCATCTTTAAGTAAAAAATAGTGATTGGGTTATGTAAATTTAAATGAAACTATTAAATACAAAATAATGAAATAATTGATTAT